AGAAAACTGTCATATCGATGTCAATACAAGCTTGCCGTGCAACTGTAGTCAAGACCCAACGTTTTGCTTATCTTAATATTTTAAAGAGTATTGCATATTTGTATTAAATTTTAGGTCAAAAAATCTATATAGATATATGCACATGAATTTTTAAAAAAAAATGTAAAAATGTAAAAAAAAAAAAAAAAAAACAAAAACAAAAACAAAAACTATTAGATCACTTATTAGACTTTTAGATATATGTTATATTGTAGAAGCACAAATTTTCGTGGGAATAAAATTTCGTTGATTTGTCATATAAAATAGTTAGTGGGCACTTAATTTCGTTGTTTTGAAAGTAACCCTATTCAATATAGAGTTAAATGAAATTTCGTGTAGGATTTGATTCCGTTGATAATTTTGAACGAAATAAACGAAATTTAATCCCCCACGAATATTTGCGCTCTTACAGTATATACATATATTGAAAAGATGGATGAATATCAATAAACGAAATATTAATAGAAATGACGACAATATAACAAAATTCATTTCATTAATCTTAAATTTCAATTTTAAAACTTATAAAAAGCTTACAACTTTTCTATATCATCACTTATGATAGTGATTTATGCATTAAAAAGGCTTTTGCAATAAGACATATATTGTTAAGAACATACAAAATAATGCTTTTAGGCTTTTGGGTTGTTTATGATCAGATATTTTATCAACAAAGCTTACAAACTTTAGTACCTATGAGTTAATTATTAACATACAGGTTTACAGAATCAGTTGAGGCATGATCAAACAATATTTTTAGCTTACATAAAAAGAAATATATTCTTCATAGTAATACTTAGGTAAATGAAAGTTTCATTTAAAATTCATCTAAGTAAACTACTGATGAGGTTTTACCTTTTAATTTTTAATTTGTTTGTCGGATATATGTCTTTTTGTTGTCTTTTACTGTCGGAACAAATGGCCTTTGATTTTGAATATTTTATCTATTTTCCTTTCCTTTTTTCTAACATTCTTGGTAGGACGATATATCATGCCAGAAAAAAAAAGTGGGAAAAAAACATGTAAAATAAATTGCCAAATATGTATATCTATAAATAATTACACAAAATCTAGAACAATACAGCCACTTTAATGATATCAGATGAAAAACTTATTTGGAAAATCAAGTAGACAATTTGAAATAAGGATGATTTTTTTCTTCTTATATTTGGTGAAAAGATATTTCCATTTCTCATATATCCTTTTTTAAAGTATCATTTCTAATTTTACAAGTGAAAATCTATCAATGTACCTAAAGTTCCCTATTTAAGGAGACAATTCTTCAAAATCATTTGTCAATTTTACATATTTTAACTATTCCCAGCAATCAAAATGAATTTGAACCATTTGAATTACTTTTACTATAAACTGGATTCCAAAAACTTCACAAAAATCGACCCAAACAAAGATACATATATAGCGGGTTCCAGTAAATGTTCTATCAAGCCTCTTTTTTCAATTTTCACTAAAATATTAACAGTGGTGAATAAGAAACTTCATAAGAAATCGGCAATAATATATTTGAGAAGTGGTGTAAATCAGATGTGGATACTTGAAAATTCCGAGGAACGTTTGGAAATTTTGAAATTCACAAATTATATTTCACAAATTGATATACATGTACAACCATTCCCCACGACAAAGTCCAGCTTTTTTTTAAAACATCATTGACAGCTGCTTTTACAATATAAATTGAAATTCTAAATTTATACTTACCTCGTAATTACTTGCAAAATAATTTTCATTAAAAAGCATTCTGATTGTACAAACAATTACTCTGAAGCTGATATTAACAAGATGTTTAACTTTATGATTGACAACATCTATGTGATTTTTGTTCGTTATCTCCATATATTTCAATCTAGATAATACAATCAGAAACACAATACGAACACATACACTGTAATATGAGTACTAGTAAATTTGTTTTCAAATATACGGGTATATTTCAGTTCCTTTTATCTTATGGTTATTCAATAAAAAATATAAGTATCATTCCTTTCACTGAAACGCTGATATTTATATATTAACTTTATGTTAACAAATCCATTTTAATTCCTTATGTTGTGGAAGTTTTGTCTTTCCTTACGCTCATATTGACATAACTGATAGATATATACAAACTTTACCTTGCAGAAGTAGAAGGAAGCAGAGCGAGCACAGAACCTCCAAAAATATCAGAGGTGGGATCTGGTGCCATGGAGGAATGAGCATCCCCTGCTGATCAATCACATCTGCTATGTGCTCCTTGTCCTGATCGGGAAAACCGGTTAATTAAACCCGCTTTGTAGAGTTTTTTCTGTGTATAAGTTCTTTTTTTTCTTTATTAGACTAAAATCTTTAGTAAATCGTTGTTTTAGAAAATAAACACGTTTTAAATTGATTATTTGAAAAAATGTACATTTTTTTCTTCAATTTTTATACTTGGAAATGACATTCTTTTAAGAAAAATTTTAGTGCAAAAAGGAATCTCTTGTTTGATTTCAATGTACAACTTTTAAATAAACGTCAGTAAATATTTTTTCTCTATATGATATTATGATACATGTAATATTTTCCCTTTTCGGATCTTTTTTCGGGATTAACCCAAACAATGTTAAATATTTACATGCATTAAAAATATACATATAGGAAAATTCAGGAAGATTGTATTGCATTACTGGTGTAGTCATATGACATTATATGATTTTTATTTTTATTTTGAAAGTAAACTTAATTAAAAGTTTCACTTGAATCAAATTGAAAATTTTAAATGTTATTAATATACAGCTCATTAGCTTAATATTAATTTATCTGAAGATGAGTTTACCACAGTAGGGTTGGACCATACCCAAAACTTGAAGTGTCACTGCTGGAAAAGATATAGCCTATGTAATTCGATTACAATGTTTTTTCATATTATCATTTTTTGTGAGTAAAAACAAGGTGTAATACTCTTATAACATCTTAATAATTATATGCAAAATTTAAATGCACATGCTATTATTTAATGATAAATTTATATGATTGTAATAGACACTTTCGAATCAAATAAAAACAATCTTATATTTTGTAAAAAAAAAAAAAAAAAAAAAAAAAAAAAAAAAACCAAACCTGTATATGCTTCTTTAATTTCAGGTTTTATTACAGTAGAGTGAAAATAAAAATCTTCATGAAATTTTAAGGGAGCCAACACGGTAGACCAATTTAATATTCATCATCATAGGAGTCCATGTAAAGTCAGTGACGCAGTAGGCAACGTCATCAACTAAAAAAAGCACCAGGTAACTAATTGGGGAGGAGATAATTAATGTAAGTTTCTTACTGAAGATTCGTTGTTAGATACATTTCATAAATAATAAATCATTATTTGAGTGATTTTTTTTTAAATATCTACAATTTTCGTCACATTCCTATGAATAATGAACAGTGTTTTTATTCTTTTAATTTTATTCATTTGTATAATGACGTTTAAAAAATTAAAAAAATACACTTAAACTATACAGAATTTTGTCATTTAGTACTCATAATAAATCGTTAAGTTTGTGTCAAAAAATCGAAAAGTCCCGAAAGGAAATAAAAAATTTAGCACCAATATCGATAATGATGAAGATGTACTTCTGAACCCTAATACATTTACATATGTACCTCCATTGACTGCTGATTATCGAGATTATCTTCTCAGTGGCTGATCATGTAGTCATTTACAACTACAAATGTAAATTATAATTTACTGTCTTCAGTCAAATTATACTGTTGACCTTATTTGAATGTATTGTATTTGGAAATTTACTGAATTTGCTTAAAATATTTTTACTGGACTTTTTTGAAAGATAACATTGCATATTGAAGACCTCTCTAACATTTATGTTTTTTCCCAGTTGAATAAAACATTCTAGTAATAATTAATTGCTAAATTACTGATCTTCAAACTTATCTGTACCTATATACATGTACATTGTATTTCTAAATAGTGGTGTAAAACATGTAAATGTATACATATTTGTACTTTTTTTTTTCTAGATTTCTAGAAGATATCCATATACATGTTATGGTTAAGGTCAGACGACATGTTCCTCAAATACATGTTTTGTATCTCTTGGTAAAAAAATTTTCATATTTGTCACTCTCTTCTGATTTCTACATCGTTTTCAAAATGTTTTTAAATATAGGTACCACAAAAAATGTTATATGGGCCATTCAGAAGATACCCCATAAGGGTTATATAGGAAATTGACCATGAGGTATCTTGTCCAAATGTCTGGTAACGTACCATAATTTGTTGCGAGGAAACTTTTTTAACTACCTATACTTCAATGACAAATTCATAGGGAAAATTATATACATTTGTAGGAATGTATCATCTGACCTTCAGTTGTTTCTTTAAAAAGAATTAACATATACTATTCGATTTCAATGAAAAACTTCCTTTTCCAATGATTAAACTAGGTGTGTATTTTTATAGAGAGAAAAAAAAGATTTTCTCTCCTTGATTTCTGTTTTTTTTTAAATTAATTTTTCATTGCATAAAGAATTTGTTTGATTTTCAAAATGATTTCTTTAATAAAACAATGTACAGTGTACATGTTCTTAAGTAGTTTGATTTTCAAAATGATTTCTTTAATAAAACAATGTACAGTGTACATGTTCTTAAGTACATGCAAACTTTATTTCAACTACATACTGTTTGCTCCATCAAATACATGTACATATTTTCCAAGTATAAAATAAAACTACACGTTCTTTTTTAATTAGAATTGTTCACCATGTTGTAATTAATATTTTAATGCCATAAAATATTCCATATTTGGAAGTGCTTATAAGAAAAAAATCATTGAAGTCTTTTTTCAGACACCAAATAGCTCTATCAAAATCATAGCTGTTCTTTTAGCTTATCCACCTTTTTTTTTTTTAAATAATCCTCTTTTGTTTATAAATTCTTTTAATGGCATATTTCAAAGAAAACAAGAATAAAACACAACTAAATGTAACAAAATTTTATTTTTCAAACTCAAACATTTCATGATATTGTAATATCTATCTCTAAGATTGATGAGTTTTGAAATACAATTAAAAAGAGAGATTCTTGTGTTTTGTTTGTACTCTGGAAAAAAAAGCTTAAAAACAACTGATATCTGTCCATTATGATGAGATACAGCGTACTGTCATGGTCTTTCATCGTAATATCACAGGGTTTAATCTAAAAATAGGTTCTACCCTGACGAAATCAATATATGTATATACAAATTAAAAATATACAATATAAATTTTATAGCACTCGTTCGGGTCGTGCCTTTTTCACAGGGAGCAAGGATTTCAAAAGATTGTTTTTTACATTATAGTTGTCTGCAATTTTTTCTTTGGTTAAAATTCTTCTCTCAGACTCGTCATCTACAAATCATCCATGCGTGACGGAACTGACTTCATTTAAAGATTAAAGCATCCTCTTGAAACTAAACACATACAATATTCATATTTAACTTGTCATGAATTTTGTAGTACTCATTATATGCCTTGATATTTTTGTTGACTTCTTTGAGCAAATAATAAAATTTCTGAATTTTTCAATTGAAGTTTGCTGAGCATGCGTAATAAGATTCTTGAAACTAATACTGAGATGAGATTTTTACTTAAATCAAATATGACGATCAACCTTTGTAAAATGATTATATTGCACAAAATTTTATAGGGTGAAGAGTGATATATGGATCATTGAAAAATAGTTTGAAATATTTGTGATGATGGTCACTTTAAATTTGCAGAAAACATAAAGGCATTGAATAAAATAGTTTTTTTTCTTATTCTAAAAAATTCAAAGAAACTAGGCTTACACTTCGTGTGATAACTAGTATCCTTCAAGTAAAATTCAATACCATTAAGAAAGGCTCCCATAAACATTTCATCATACAAGACTATAATCTCAAAAAAGAGTATAAAACACATAGTAATAATGAAAATTAGATATACATACGGATATATCTACAGTTGATACATTCAACAAACAACCTATCCATACACACAGAATTCAAGCTCCACACATTCTTCGTCACAATATACCCTAAAATAGTTAAGTCTATTGTCGACTTTGATTCAAAAAATAAGACTTCATTCTGTAAAGTTTTTTTTTTCCCAACGGTAAGTCATTTTTCCTGAAGATAAAAAACCAACCTCTGAATTTATGCCACAAGTCTTAGATTATCTTCCAGAATATTCATTATCGTTTGTAATGCCAGTTCTGGAATTCAAATTCACTTAAAATTCCAAAAAATATATTTTTGCAAAGCACAATTTGTTTATGATAATATCATAGGTTGCTGACGATTTGTTCATTTTTTGCACATGCGCACAATGTTATGATTTGGAAGGACTTGCTGACGCAGCCACCGTTGTGTTCGGTTCGTTTCTACCTGAGACTGGCGTTTGATAATAGTATGGTGTATCTAAAAAAAAAAATAATGATGTAATTATATTAATATTATAAATCTGAAACAAGTAGTCGCATAATTCTTGAGAAATTTCAAAGTATATTATCTTTACCATATAAGCAATTTATGTTTAATTCAAAATTTATTGCATAAACTCCTAGAATTAATGTACCTTAATCTTTTTGTACAGCACTGACGACATGTCAGTTGAAATATATTTCAATTGTCAATATTTTGGGAATAGTGCTATTTTTAATATTTTTAAATCTACATTAAATATTTTTTTATAGATCCGCCCAGATTTCGAGGGACTTACTTAGAATACCTGTGGGGGTGGTGTATCTCATTGTCCAGGCTGGGTCCGCAGGATAGGCAGCTGTCTGGTACTGTGTGTACGGGGCTGTCCCAGCGGCATTATAATACTCCCCACCTGAAACAGGTAAGTAACAGGTAAATAAAACATGATTAACGGAGCTTGTTGAATGGAAACATGGGTTTGGGTCTTCATAAATAAAAGTATATGAAAATTACAAAGTTTGATGAATCAAGAGAATTATTAGCATTGAGCATGAGAAAACTAAGACATATGCAATAATGTTGATGTGGAAGCTGATGTTCTAGTATTGATTGGAAAGTTGGCATAATCGCACTTCAAATGCAAAAATACCCTCATATACCCGTGTTGCATTATTTATTCAGGAGCGGAAGACAGGTCTAGAAACTTAATGATAAACACGAGATTTGACAATTTTAAAAAATGATGAGTTTGTCCACCTAAAGTGTGTTGTATTAATTTTTCATATGTTGCTTTACATGTTACCGGGTTTTATAACTTTTTCATTTCGAAATTGTCTTTTATTCCATAAATGGAATAAAAGACAATTTTTGCAATGTACAATATACTTGTCACAAATACTGAAAGACATTCAACTGAACATGCATGAGCAGTCATTTCACAACAGATAAAATACACAGCATATGCAGACAACATCCGACACATGATTCCAGTGCATTACAGAACAATGCCAAAAACAACGATACTTTAAATTGAATGACAGGATAAATGCTTGGGGTTTGTTAAAAGTATTTTAACAGTTCATGAGGATTCAATCAAAAAATCTTCATGAACTGATGAACTCATTCAGACTGACTTTCATTCTATTTTCATGTATCTGCTGTTTTCAAAAGAAATGATTCACTCAGAAAATGTTTACCATAAATACCAAAAAAAGAGACCTTCTTTAAAAAGCCAAGATATTATCACAATATACCATAAAGCGGTTATCACCTCTAAATCGTAATTCATCAATACCACAGCCGAGCGCTAAACAATAGCATTCCGTTTCTTTTCTTCTGTTTTGACAAAAAATTGTATTAATAGGTTTAATTTATCAGTAGTTTATTTATCAGTTCGGACATGCAATGGGATCGCCCTCGCGGGAACGAACCAGTTGTGGCGTGACAGAGGACGATAATTTGTCGTCTGCTTTGTCTTAGCACTGACCGATAAGGAAGAAAATAGACCCCGGTGACGAATTCCTCTACTTTGTTACTCTGAAAGGACATACTAGAGTGGCAAATAGCCAACACAAAAGGAATAGAGATGTTGAGAGAGATAAACTGATGACTGCGATTCTAAATAGAGAACCTGAAAGAGGAAATCTACACGAAAATGGAATGGACAAAAAATAGGATCGTCATGGAACAAGGATGACAATGAAGACCTTACAAGCTTGGATTGCAATTGTTTTTAAGCTGATTTTATTTAATGTCATTGTTGTTTTTTTTTAACATATAAGCAATAAATCATGTTTTGCTTTGCAATTTAATGAATTAAAAATGTTTTGCTTTTTTCTTCGTCAACAGTTTGCGTTCCGAAAGATGAGGGATATCGTCTGACGATGACAAAATGTGTGCAAAATGATACAAACGAGAACCGTCAGGGTTTTTATCTGATGTTCTCGACAACATCATCATTTACAGTTCCGTATTCCACGGGGCACAATTATTTAGGGACCTCCACAACAGAGTAGATTAAATTGAATTCTGGAATAAAGTGATCTGATTTCGGTTTAATCGCAGAGGTTTTGAGTATCTCGCTCGGATGGGACCTCGTTGCCGAGTTATCCGATCCCAGGGAGAGAAAAATCTCGCTGAAGATTCCGGGGAATGGTGATTTTATCATGAAACGGACAGAGTTATCCTATTTGCAAATGCTGTATCGATTGGCGAATGGTGTTAACACTATCGCGCATGTATCATCGTCCGTTTCGTATTTCTGTCATTGGCTCTCGCGACATAACGATTTTATCGGTCACCTAAAGCATTAAGGACCCGTTAATTTTGTTGCGTCCGTCCCTCATAGCTTTTTATCGTAGGATGCAGCAATGCAAGATAGTGTAACAAATCGGGAGTTGGTGTTTTTTCTCGATTAAATGCGACAATTTTTACACTGTGTTTATCTTGGCCATGATTCCATCCCCCTGATCGATGCAGGTTTCGAACATTTACATATGTATTATCCCTTGCGTTTAATATGGGACGGTTTAATGATTCATTTCCTACCCGATAGAGAGATTCAGTTTATGCGTGAATTTAATGACCTATTATTATTGATCGGGTGTGATCTCCGCTAATGTTCGTATGTTAAAACAATATGAGACATTATGCACTAACATACATCTAACGATTAAATAAAGGGAAACATGACAAAGAAGATGTTTCTTTTTATTGTAGGGATAAAAATGTGAATTATCATTAATGTAAGGCTTAACGAATAAAATCAAAATATGAATATTTGTTCCTCCATCATGATCTCAGTTGATAGCCAAACAGATTTTTCATGTAAAACTTTTAATCACTTAAAAGGCGTTTGATTAGACCATACATCCTCGTCCTCAAAAGCAAAGTAATGTATCGACAAAGTGCAAAAGTAATTTTTATCCAATAATTTATCTCTTCATATTGGTTAATCGAAAATGAGATTAAAGACCGATATATTCCATAACTACTGTAAAGCTCGAACCCGACTTCTAGACTGCCTGGAGTGAAAATTTAATTTCTCCTGCGGGTCATTTTACACAGCAATCATTGTCACTGCAAACTGGCTGAACAGAAATAAAAAAAAAAATTAGAAATAAAATTGAAAACTTAAAAATTTACTTCGGCAGATGAAGCCGTGATTCTCGGTAATTAGTAGTACCAATGTTCTGTGTGTCATTAGAGACAGACAGTGCCTAGCAATAGCTTGAAAGCCGAGAAAAGAAGCAATTGTATGGTAATTTTATTAACCCGTCTCCATTATTATATGGCTTATGTGACAACTGCACACGAGAGACTATTACGGCAAAAAACATCAGCATTATAACATAAAAGATGTTTTGCCCCGTTTTAATCTCGCATGCTAACTATTCTGTAATTTCAGGGTGGCGGGATCAGAGGATCCCACGTTGATTTGGTATCGTGTTGAAAAACATTCATTTTAAAAATCTGTATTTTTTTCAGAAAAAAAAGTGTCACAGATGATTTCTACCATTCAGTTTAAATGAAAACTACCGATCAGTATAGACTATAGAGCATTGTTAAGTGAATTATATTTGAAGACTTGCCCTAATATCCCAAATAAGTAAGCAAATAATTTGCAGTCATAATGCTGAATATTATGTGGTAATTATTTAAAATTTGGTTACATAATTTGTGTAGGACCCGAGAAGGATATGGAAATAACGAACAGTATTCAATCTCAACGTCCATTAAACAAATATACAAAATAAGTGCAGAGCAAACACGGACCTTCAGAGGTGGGATCAGGTGCCATGGAGGAGTGAATCCCCTACCGGTCACACCCGCCGTGTGCTCGTTGTCATAATCAGGATATAACGGAAAAAATCCGTGGTCAATTCAGTGTATAAATAATGGACTAACAATTGGTATGAAAAACGTCATTCAGCATTTCATTCAATGATAAATTGTATTTGCTGACAAGGTAATCGACCATAGAATTTACGAAATGATGACTTTAAACGAGACTGTTGATATTCTTGTTTCATCAACTTGCTTGTCAATAATTTACCTCGTTTAAGAAACTGTTCATACGCAGAGCATGCTATATCGAATCAACTGAGATATAAATACTCCGTATGCAGGTGATGAAGGTATATTGCTGCATAAGTAAGGGAAGTTGACGATAGAAAAATTAAAGTCATCACGTTTATCATATAGCTTGGTTGTTAGATTACCATTAGTGTCTTTTTCAAGTAAAATATCCAAGTATGAAGCAGAAGTGTCGGACTCTGTGGTATCTTTTATCTCAAGCTCACCAGGATATATCGTGTCAACGTATGAATGGAAATTATCATTATTAATTGACAATACGTCGTCGATATATCTAAATGTCGAGTTGAAGGCCACAGCAAGTGTTTTCTTCTTTTCACGTAAAAGATTTTGCATAAATTCTGCTTCATATGAATATAAATATAGGTCTGCTAACAATGAAGCACAATTTGTACCCATGGGAATTCCAATAGATTGTTGGAATACCTAGATATTGTCAATCAGAAACTCAAGCATCTTCTTGATGTCAACTTCAGAGTACATATGTGTGCAATCAGAATCTGTTTTAACAAAATAATTTTTCAAATGACCAATGACGAGATAAGTAAACTTACGAGTTCCATTTTTGTTGAAGAAGCAGCTGTCAATGATATCAAAAAGCCTGGATTTTAATTTGTCGTGGGGAATTGTTGTGTATAAAGTTGAAAAGTCGTAAGTTTTTATGCTGTTGATTTTTGTAAAGTCTTGTGAATAATTAGTCATGCTAGAGATTTGTCACTATTATAAGTAGTAATAAATGCGCGATGACTTCCGAGTGATTAGAAGACGCATTCGATGTTTGGTCGGTTCCCAATGCAGCGTTAAGTCTAAAAGTCGGACCGATTTCCTGCAAAAATTACAACTGCCAATTCAGCCCTTTCTTTTTGGTTTCTATTGCAGAAAAATATTACGAAACGGTGATGACACAGTCTTTTTAATCGAATCAAAGAACTGCAAGAAGACGGACAAACGATCCTCTTGTCCAATAATTCATCAATTCGTTCCAATGGCAAAATATTATCAAACGCTTTTAATTCGCTAATCTATTCTCGTGCGAATGATACCGACCAATTCTTCCGAACGGAGAGATGTGATTAATGAAGGAACTTCCTAATCGGATCGTATAAGTAGCCTCCAAACTTCATAGTCAAATTACAGGCCCATTGGCTATGTCCAAGGTCCACTGGTTTGGAAAATATAATTTTCATTGCTCCTGTATAATGCGAATTTTATTAACGATTGCCAAAGTAGACAAAGACAGGGACGTTCGATATCCAAATGTTCATGATGAGGTCTTAAATAAAGATTTAACGAAATAAAATGTCTTTATAGTTTTCCAACAATAACCTAATCATGCTTAATTTTCTTTATAAAAATACATGTTTTGGTGAGAGGACATCCATAAGAACTTATTGGTATCTTTTTATTTTATTATTGACTCTTTCGTCCGACACTATTGTTGTTTTATTTTTTTTAAGTTTTACAACTAAAAAATATATATTAAAAGAATCCTTTATTTTAAAGGGGGATGCAATAAATATGAGTTAAAGATGTTAAGCTTAGTTAGCACCTTAGTTACAAACATCAAACCAAAGTCGCGATTTAGAGCCCTCACAAATTCACATCAAAAGCTTCACTTTTTAACTCCGATTAAAAAGATATCAACATATTTGTGCCAAACTTGACATAACGATGATAAGGAAAGCTGAGAAAATGATAGATATATTTAATCCAAAATGATACACAGCGATGATGAACTGACAATAGGGACGGGTTTATCGCGGATGCACGTGCTTTCCGTCAGTCATATTTCCGGCAATCTTGCAACCGATGAGAAATGTTTCACAGTGCGTGTTTATTTGTTAAGAACACATGCTAAAGATGTTTCAATTTGTCAACAATGACAATGTGATAAATAGTCAAAACAAAAAGAATGTAAAAATCAATTTGTAAATTCCCTTGTCCATAAAATTGGACTCCGAGATAAAAATTCTTGGTTTTATTCTACAAAGAGAAGTGTTTAAAACTTTGCTTTTATGGACTTTACTTACAAAATTATTTAAAAATGTCAATTTATCAAACAAAGCAATCTTTAAATTGAAAATAATTCTGGTCTTTATTTTTATATTTTATTTAGATGGACTTAAAGAACGACTTTGCTACTTCAAAATGCAGCTTCTCCTTTGCATGAAAGATTTTTTCAAATGTTTAATGAAAGGGACTTTGTGACCATGTACATGTATTTATCTACAGTTCATGCAAGAAACCAAATTTCTCTTAGAATAAACCATGAGCTGAGGATGTAATCTCCTTCTCTGCTTCCCTCACATCATCAGGGTTGGTCCAGCTAAGCATAAAACAAAGAAATACAAACAGAGCGTGGTTTAGGGTGTGAGGACTTACTGGGTGGGTTGGCCGAGCTATAAGATCCGCTGGATATTACTAGAGGTTGAACAACACTGCCGACAACAGCCTGACTGGGAAACGTAGCATGTGAACCGTTATAGCTGCTAGCTTGACCTAATTGTGAACAAAATGCTAAATTAATGCATGCATACTATTTTTTTTTCTTGGTGCCAATCTGTGCTTATAGAAAAATAATTTTGGATTTTCTCCTTTGCACTATCAAGATGATTTATATATTTTGTTTTCTTTGGCAGAAGAGAGGACATGTGTGTCAAATCTTCATCGGGGTTGTAAATTTCCAAAGATCAAACAACCTATTTTGTTTATACTCCGTCCATATGATTGTAAATTTGATAAAAATCAGAAAGGAAAGTATGCAAACAACACTTCGATTCAAAAAAAGACAATTTGTGCGGCTGGAAACAATAATGAGAATGAGTTCATAAAAGTATTCATTATCAATTTCAGTCGATCTTTACTTTTTGCATTGCAATGAATTTTTCAGATAAATCAATGGTTGGGATTTCCTGTATGATTGTTTGATATCACATTTTTCATCTTTGTTGTCCAAAAAATTAATAGAAAATATTCAACTCGTGGTGTAACTTACGTCTCGACATGAAATGTTTGACAAATCTTAATGAAAATCATTTCATGGCGGATAAAATCTAAATCTGATAAATGTTTTATAACATACGAATGTGTAATGGAATATACTGAAAGTGTTTAAGTAACCCATGATTTTCAAAATAAAATTTTGAACATCACAGCTGATTAGTTTAATATCATTTGATTAATACCCAAATCACCATGATGCATGCATTAATTTTTTTTTAATGTTGGTTGACAGTTACCTTTTTCTTTCAACAGGCTGAATATGATGGTTGAGGATGTTGCAATGTACTCATGCACGTTAGTAGCTTAAGAGAGTTAGCCGTTATAGGTTGATTATATCAGTGTGTTAATAGTCTCGTCACCACAGGCAAATAAATAACATGTAGTTAGTCTTGTTACTTTACTACACAAGTGGCGATAACCTATGTATAGCACTCTGATCTCTTCGAAAAAAAGGAAAAAGCTAAATTGTCCGGATATTGGCAAGAGCTTTCGTTTACTAACATCAAAGTTTAGTTGAGGAAATCATAAATATGTCCTTCTTTTTTATATTGATGCGAATGTCGCTGCTCCGACTTTAGCATACACTGTTTTTACTTTGTCTCCAGTAGGAAAAAAAACCCAGGGAGATTGTTTGAAGCCCCCTTGTCTCAGGAGTTTATGACAAATCTAGAATCGCCTCAGTAATCACATATCAGAGAGAAAACGTTGAGCAGATTAGGTGTTGTTTCATATGGTTTCGATTAAAACATAAAATATAACACGTTTTGCCCAATATAAAAGAGTTCGATGTAATCCTAACTTTCAAACACAGATGATATAGAGTACAGTAAACTAATTCGTCTCTTAAGTTCCTTTTCTGGGGCACAATACATGATTTTTATTTCATATTGCCTGGGTTTTATAACAGACCAATTAGTACAATTTAAGATGATGCTTCACGATTGTAAAATGAATTTCACCGTACTAGATTTTTGTGGATTTTCTCAAATATCGTGTTACGACATTTAAAAATTGTCATCACTATTTCGTTTTGTTCCTTTTGTCTGTGTCAAGAAAATGAGAATTGTTAGATATATCGGGACCCCCTTCCAAAATAATATGATAATCCAATGGACCCATCCTTGGTGGGCCTTAACACTTTTTTTGGTTAACATTTATTTATTAAAAGAATGCAAGAAGCTATAGAAACTGAATATGGAAAATATAGGACTTTGTGTAAATAAAAGCAACTTAGGTGTATATTGGTTTTAGTATTAGTAACATCATAAATTGCCTTTTTATTGCAGCTATTAAGTCCAAAATAAGATGCAAATAATAAAAAATTAAATTAATTCGTTTTGCATTCTGGGTAAACTTGAAAGCTTATGAAAAATTGCTGAGCTTGCTTTTACATATGAAAGTTTCTTTTCTTTCCTTTGCTTGTTTCTTTATCTTATCAAAAAATCTTAATGAAATTATTTGTTTGATGTTGAATTTTTCATCGAGAAAAACATCAAAAGTGAAACGTTTGAATTTCAAAATAGGGTTGTTTTCGTGTTTCGAGGGAAACAAAGAGAACAAAAGAAAAGAAACCAATATAGAAGAAGGTGAATGGTTTTGAAAATGCAGGTGAAGTAAAAAATAAGATTGTTCTAATGAAGGTGAAAAAAGGAAAAAAACGAAAAAAAATTCTACAAACCGAAAAAAAAAAGAAAAAGGGCATGCTTACTTGAAAATTGTCCCGAAAACGACGGCAACGGTGTATAAGACTGGGACATAGTGGGTTGAACGGGCTTAAGCTCTGTCAGGTTGTTAGACCCACCCCCTGAGCTGGGGGAGCCCGCCTTGGGGGGAGGGGTGTTGTTATTATTGTTGATGGTTGGTGTTGATGATGAAGTTGGTGTGTTGTTGGTTGCTGCAAAAAGGGTAACAACAACATGCAAGGAATACACTCAAGTTTTTACCAGAAAACACGATAGCACAATGCACAATATATAATATATATATATAGAAGAAGCAATACTGAGGAAAGATGCCTGATATAATAAATTTAGCAGAAACAATCACCGTATTTGCTTAATGTTTAATATTCTACACATCTTAAAAAAAATAAAATAAAATGTATATAAAAACTTCTGAAAATTTCGCTTTATTTCTCTCAATGAAAGATTTATGAAACATACATTTTTAGTATTCAAACATATTTAATTTGATAAAAAATAGATAACTGAATTTGCAATAAGGTTTGCAAAGACAAATTTTTTTGGGCTTTGGGGAAAATTATATGAAAATAATATTCCTTTCCAAAAATAATTTTTGGTCAGACGAAATAAATTTTGGGATCAGACGCATGACATCCTGAATTATTTGTTGAATATTTCTCTTATATGACATTGCTAATCAAATGAGTCGTGATTTAATGCATAGGGATGGCGCGTTGCATTTGTACTAGTCCAATAACAATGACTTATTTTTATTTGGTGGAGTATTTATTGGAGATTTCCAACAAGCCTGATTAGGAGCGGTCATGCAAATGACCAATTCATAAGTGGAAGCCGTAATGGGAAAACTGAAATGCGAGAGAGACAGAGAGAGTTAGTGTTATTCAGTGGCTTTTTTGATTGAATAATTCTTCCTATTTTCCCTTCCTTCTTGATGGACAAGTTGATAATTTGATAGCATATTGTCTTGTTCTTCTGCAGTGATAGTGTAATTTCTCTCTCACTTTGTGTAGTCTCTCACAATTTTGCTAATCAATGGACCATTGAAATGAAATTCAACAGAACCAAAAAAATAATGCTCTACAGAGATGTTTGAAATATTTTGCAGAAATTCAAATTTTCTTATTCAACACCTGTTTAAAGTTTCTATGCTAATGAAGATCCTTTTTGTGGATAAAAAAGCCAGTATTTTTAATTTTCCCATTCAATTTTCATCCAAGACAAGCAATTGGTCCTGTATTTTACCTCGAGCAAGAAAACAATTTATCAACCTCTAAGTCTTCAATTACTTTTCATTATTTATCCCTTGATGTATTGGTATCTAAGATTAGTTCAAAACAGAGTCTTGATGGAAAAGGGAAGAAAAAACGAGACGCACGAAAACAGCTTTAAATTTCACCTATATTTTTTATACAAAAAATTGGTTTACTTTTAAAGTGCTTTGGTTAAATATGTTTTTTCTCGTCAGAAAAATATATCAATATTTTATTGGGATGAATAGAAGACTTAAAAATAAGTTTCAGATTTAAGAACACCTTTAAAAGGTAAAAAAGAGCAAGGTAAACACCAGAGCTGTACCTTCTTGGAATTGCTCTTGTTGCGCAGGTGGCTGTGCTTCCGTTGCCACGGCAACCACTATTGGTTTCAATTCCTGAGTCTGCGCATTAACACTTATTTCTGTTCCCAGTTGGTGACCTCAAATTTTTAAAATTAAAGTTTAACCATTACACAAAAATATTCTGAACCCGAATTTTGAAGAAAGAAGATTTTTTTTAATGCTTATTGTATACACTTATCCACTGGTTGCGATATAGCTCGAGGGCTTGCCCGAGGGGAATAGTTCCTGTCAAGGGTTTGAAAAAATTGTGGATAAATGTTTTATCATACTGATGTATAATTACAATTTTTGAATTTTTTTTTTGAAAAGAAAATACAAGAATAATCGGCATAATGCTACTGAAGTCATTATGACATAAAATATTTTTTGGATTGTTTTTCCGATAGTATACCCCGGGGTATAGCTTTGCTATGCGTGAACTATAAAAGATAGCTATTTTACCTTCTGGACTTTATATAGGAAACATTTTAACAGAAGTATAATAATTATGATTATCTTGCTTCAGCTTCGAGAAACCGAAATTAAACTGGGTGCAATATGGTTCCTAGCTTTTATTGATACTTATATATCGAGGCTATCGTTCCAACACAGCGTGCAAATATACATAAAAATAAACAAATAACCGTGCTCTATATATAATGTTTCACATAGAACGTTATATATGTAATAAATGCACAAAATTCCACAGATGTTACAATATAATTTTTTTAAAAAACATATCATTCAGTTAGTTATATTTCATCTACGTTATAAGTTAGTTTCTTAAACTACTAAACATCTAGACCATTTTACAAAATATATTAACCATAACACAAATAGGCATGACACTGTTATACAATAAAGAAATTAAAACATAGCCCAAAAATATTTAATTGCACAGACAACATTTATAAATAAATGCCTCACCTAATGTTGTGGCAAAGTTGGTTGTTGTGCTTTGAGATTCGGAATTGGCCACCGTGCCTATTGCCGGAGATGCGATAGTGTACTCGACTCCGACTTGGGATTTTAAAACATCCCCGGAAATGGTTGTCGTTGTGTTAACAAAATGAGCATTATAATTTGGAGGAAGATTTGCGGGTACTCCAGCGGGGTACATTTGTGCATTGTTTATAATCAGTGTGTGAGGCATGCCTTGAGCTTCATTGGTGCCATTTTCGGCTCGGGCTTGTTTCGTTGGTCTAGGTTGGGTTTGGTACCATATCTGCTACAATACACAATGTTACCATTATTGCATTAATAAATATTTACAGGATGAACACAAAATATTAGGAAACTCTCTAATTTTACATAGTCTCGATTTATTCTTGACTCAGGAACAGAGGGAAGACATTGCTAGGTCAGTGATGTGACTTTCAAATACAGTATAATTTTTAATTCTTATGCATTTCAGTAAATTATACTTGATTAAGATTAAGCCAAAGACGTTTAATAGAATACATCCTTTAATGTACAGTGTAATACATTTTCTGTTATTTCTACTTTTATATTTTGTGATGTTGACACTTACATTAATGTCTGCTGCATTTGGTTCTATTTTTACTTCAGCTTCATGACCATTTGGAACTACAAAGAAAATAAAAGAAGCATAAGAATTTTTACCTTTCTCATAAAAGCCAAAAGCAAATAAATATGTCTTCATGTAATAGTATGGAACATAAAAAGGATGAGTTATTCACAATAAAAATTAACACTTAATTTGAATTGACAGTTTCTTCGATTAGGCAGCAGCAATACACGATTTTCACCCTACTTTTAACCATTTCTTATTAATTTCCTTTCTTGGTCGTGTTTTCGTGTGCTTAAGGATATGGCAATTCGCTGAATTATAATAGAAAACAGGCCCCTGCATCCTGAGCTTTCTCAGCCCCGTAATGCACACCACTTTACCGGAAGAAATCTCGATAGCGGTAGCATTAACGCGGTGACAAGTCAGAGAAGGATTGTTCAAGAAGTGGCCTTTTCTTACGATCAAGGAAGAAAAAGACCGAGTTACAAATCTGATTAAGCAGCAGACGAGAGGGTGGTGAATGGACACTAATAAAGTTTACAGCAGCAGACGAGATACAAGGGAATCTTTTTTGTGGAGATTGTTATTTCAACATGCAATTTATTTGTTATTCTTATTAGGCCTGATCTTGTTATCTGTAATTAGATCGACTAATGACCGGACTGGACATTTACAAGACGGAGGCAGACCTCGGCTTTGTTATTTGTTGAGGGCGATCACGAAGAAAACATATTATAACTGACAATAATGCCTAATTTCCAGCGGATTGTGTTGTCCCCCTGCAGAACAATTAACATATCATATTATATTGATATTCGAGTTAAAAACTGGAGTCTTTCGAATTGCCTTCTATCGTTTGGACCCCAGAAATATATTTCTAGAATGCATGTTGTAGCCCTACAAATTATATTTAACATTCTTAAATTTTAAAAGAAAAAATAAAAATCGATTTCATTGTTTTAATTGTAAATTAAAAATTATTCTGTATAATAAACTTTTTATTTGGAATATTGGTACCGATTCTCTATCTCGTCCCGAGAAGCCAAAATAATCTTCACAATTTGCTTGCCATAATGCCGATTTTGAGTAATGGTAAATACCAGGGCCTCGTCTATATATTCGTTATATAACATCAGTAGTTAATGATGAAGATACAAATCAAGTAGATTTATTGTTTTATTTCCGCACCTCATATTTGATTTGCGTCTGTATGTCAACAAACCACACGTGTTTTGATGTTCTGCGATTCTCAGACATTCCCAATATGTTTTGTGAGATGAGATAGATCCAAGATTGATCACGTATAATATTCCAAACATTTTTATTCTGTCACTATTGATCGCCCTGCTTTGCAGATATTCTAAATCTTCAGAAGGTTAGTGTGTGATAATGGGCAAGAATTTAAATGTCAACAATAAACTTGAACAAAATCAGACAGCCACTGTTTGGAATCAATAGAGGTCTACTTGAAAAACCCCGACTTTTGGTCAAAAGTCAACTGTTAAACCCTGCTCAAGTCCTCAAATCGTATCGGTAAACATGCATGAAACAATTTACAAAATTATTCTGTCAGAAAATGTTTCAAAATGATAAAATCTTGTAGAACCGTTGAAAAATATAAATGTGTTACTTTACATATGCATTCCATTTTTCCTCCTTAACAATGTGCTGAATTACATTGCATTATTAGTAGAAAATGTTAAAGAAAGCAGGAAGAAAAAAGAAATGAATATTCAATTTCCTTAACGATTTAAACAAAAATGAAACAACGGTAAAAACAAGGAATTTCACCACCGGTCAATCAAATCTCCGGACTTAACCCATTAAATGATATTGATAAATTAATGGCAAACTGGTGTTATTCATTAATTATGAAGACCTTTGCATTTGCAATTAACGCGAAACCATACACAAAATTGTGATATTGTAGACGGCGAGAAGGGAGAAAGAGACGCTCTATCCCTAAACACTGCTGAGTTTGAGCTGGCTCTGGTAATGGTCTTTGATGATTAATTAATACCCAACTCGTTCTACACCTGAGAGAGAGAGAGAGAGAGAGAGATGGAGAAAAACGTAATCATGGGACAATATGGATTTTCAACCAACGTCTAAGGTTTATCTTGCTCGAGTCTGATAGAAAGATATCAGAAATTGTTTCCGCATTGACAAATTGGGAGATTTTTTTGAATGACGTGTCTTTGGGAAGGCCATTTAGATAAAACCTGGGTATCTGTATGCAAGGGGTTTCTTGTTTCACAAAGCAATCTCATGCACCCATCTCTCATCCTTTTTCTGCTTCAAATCAAGTAAAATAATGTGAACCATGCTTGCGCAAGAACTCTAAGAATTCCTTAGTCTGATATGTGAGAATTTTTTGGGGATTGATTGGGAATTTTTTGGTACTAATCTTTATTCGCTAATGATCAAACTTTGATATATTTTTTATACCTACAGGGAAGAAAATATTTAACAAAACAAAAGGGTCTTGACATGCTCATGCAATTGCATGTCACAAATGTAACGAATATGCAGTCTTTGAGAAAAAAGAACAATGAATATTTTTTACTATCATTCTCCAAGTTTTTTCTGGTAATGTTAAACTGTTATAAATGAAGTAGGGGTGTCGTATTGTGGGAAAACACATCAAGATTGTATAAGATTTTTAGTCTCGGGAATGGGAATGATCGTTGTAATTTTTTTCTCTAAAATTTACGTCTTTTTAAAAGTTTTTTTTTTTCTATTTAAGCAAATGAAGAAGTCTTGTATTAAAAATCTGAGAAAGTAGACTTTGCCGAGTGCAGACCAATGAAACAATACAAACTGCAAGCTGAGCAAGAAAACAGACCGGTAAGACCAAATCCCAAGAAGGGATTACATGTACCTAGGTTACTTTCTATATATTATGTACCTTGATCATCCCTTTTCCTCTTGTTCCCGTTGGGATCTACCATGGTTTGAGCGGTCTGACTTTGAGGAATTCCCAGAATTCCCGTGATTGTATAGGGGGCTCTCTGTATTTCACTATTTGGTGATGGCTGATGGGACAATGGCGGACTTCCAGTGTCCATTGACGGACTGCTGTGACCTGGGGAGTGTTTTGCATTCTCTGCTGCTTTATTCCGCACGATTCTGAAATACAAATTCGAATATTTTATAATGGTTAAGTTTGAAAAATTTTCTCTAAGTCCCTTAATGCTATTCTGCAAGCATTAAATCTTGATTGTACAATCTAGTCATTGGTTCGTAAAGGTTTGGACAATACAAGTAATGTACTTGCAAAGTTGATTGAAAGCATTTGATTGGTGTAAATTCTTTACAAATTAACAGAAATTTTCATTTCCTCAAATGTAAAATAAAATTTTGATTCATATGCTATTTTTCCTATATTTTTTTGGTCCCTCATCCAGTTTCTTGGGTCATTAGCACCTAAGTGTTCATTTAATTTTGACTCTTTTTGCAAATTCATATTTTTTGTATTATTGAAATAAAGGATGAACAATTACTTTTGAGATAAAGACATTCCTAACTTAAACAATAGAAACACACATGTATAGGATTCCCTATTTACCTCTCCTTATTAGATTGTTAATGCAAATCTTTTGAAAAGCCTTTAAACGTTTTGAAAAGTGAACAAGATAAAATTGAAAGGGAAAGATTTAACCTTTAATTATACAACGATGAACAGTTCAATAGATACATCACACGCTTGTCAATTCTCACCAATCTACGAAACCCGAGTGGGTCATGGAACGAATGCACATTTCTTTAGAATCAAATTTTGATTGAAAGTCATTGTTTCGAGAATACGACTAAATAGATAAGACAGTATTTTATGTCCAAGGACTCCTCTTGTTCAGGAAAGGCAATGCCACTGAATTATTCTTTACACGTTGTTATATCTAACAGAAGCCAAAAAATTTCCAGTTTCTTTCTTTGAAAGAATTTTCTTAGTTCTCAAATTTACAATTGTTCAATTCTCTAATGAAAAGTTTTCATTGTTTTTTTTTCTTTTCTTTTCAAAATATCTACTGCAATAGGCACCGTGCCATTGTCCCAGAAAAAAGGTGAAAATAATTTCTTTGTTTCAACAACCATTAAAAATTGTTAAGTTAAATAGCAAAATATTTGCAAAGCTAACTCTATGCTGAACGTGTTCCTATATCTTTTAAAATAAACGAATTGGGAGGCAAGCTAAGATCAAGACCAAATAATCCGACTGTGAAATTTTGTGACATTTGATACCGCTCAATATGGATGACTAAAAAGAAACTACCGTGTGCACTGAGTGTCCTTTTGGTGGAATCATAAACACACCCGGGCCAGCAATAGAGACATGTACCCAGTGATTCCTCGTAAAAACCCAATACTAAACATAACCTCCGATTGTTCGCAAGTTCTGTATCTTTATTGTGATTAAACACGCAAATACCCATCGAAACAGTTTCAAATTTTCCAGCAATTATGTCATTATCTTTTTGCAGATTTAGTTTGAACACGGCAACCTTTGACGGTTTAAACAATGACATCTGCCTCCGAAACATCACTGCATACAATGCTAGATTAGTAGCAGACATTGATACCCCTAATCAAATTATTGGGGGTCTTTTTTGGAATCATTTTTTGGAGGGGAAAGTTGACATTTGTATGTGCTTTTGCCTTTAAATTGCATTATAATAGTGAAGGTAATAAACCACAGAAGACTTCATAAAACCAAAGAAAAAAATCCTCCAAGATTTTCTTTCTTTTCATTTTTTTGGGGGGTGTCATTGTTGTTTACTGAAAATTAACTGCCTAATGATATATCAGATTTTGGATGGAGAAATTATCGTAAGATCACTAATATTTGACATTAAAATATTTTATATCGAATATAAAATTCCTAATGCACCAGAAATGTTCGCCTTGATAATCTTTAAAGGAGAGATAAGTTAATCCTAAAATGATCAAAAAATATCATTCCTCTGGAGACCAGCTCAGTGTCTAAATCCTCTAAAATGTCTCTCACCTGCTATAAATGGATTGTAAAATGAATTATTTGTTAATTGAGAAACATTCAGTTGATGATCTGAATCACATTTTGAGTTTATAATTCCATTATCAAGCGAAAGGTTTTAATAGAGTTCAAATGCGCGTGGTAAAATATCAAAACAGCTGGGATGGCCAAGCATTTCTAACGAGCCTTCTGTAAATTTTGGAGCAAAATTTATAAAATAACTGAACGCATGAGTAGAAAATAATGCACAAACTGAGTTGAAGCATTTGCCATTTCGAAGCTTTTTGATATGAATGTGATGAAGCGAACAAATTGACAAATTTCTCTTAGAACGCCCAAACAAGTAGCTGTTCAATTCCGAGGGAAGCTTTCGTCTCCTTTTTATTATGATGGCGAGAATAATAACCCTTCAATTCACCCGCACATAAAATGCCGGTTTGACTAACAGAACATTAATGGCAGCGCACAGTTAATGCTGTATTATCGAAGTTTAATAAACAGTTTTATTTTTGGGCAGAAATATTTCCGATCTTCTAGATGACAAGATGATTTTCTTCGTACAAGACTTTCTAACGCATTATGGTTTCTCTTTGTTTTTTCAAAATTACTTCTATAAATCTCCTCTTCAGACACAATTAAAGATGGTCTCCAGGAAAATGCATAATAAATTTGATTATTTCATGTTCTAGCAATCATTATAGCTGTCAGTCTGATTTCTTGGATTCTCTGTACGCACAGTCTCTAATTTATAACGAGGCTGTTGAGTGGTCCAAGGAAGGAAAGGGAAAACACTGTGATTACATTGTAATAAAAGTTCCCTGATTTACTAGGTAACATTTTAATCATATAGATATCTGCGTGCGAATGAATTTTATAGATAAATAAAAATTGCTGGAATTCATCAGAGGGTGAAACATTTTTTTTTTCGAAAAAAGGTTTTAAGATTCGTAATATCCAAAAAAAAATTCAACAATCACGTTTCTTGCACTCACTGTTAGCATATTAGCACACAGTTCAACTTGAAAAAATGAGAAAAGTCTCAAATAATAATTATCTAAATATAACTTACATTTGTTTCTTGGTTGAATTCAGAGGCAGACATCTCTCTCTCTCTCTCTCATTTACTTTTTACAATTGTAAATTAAATCAAAATTTCAAATATGTATGGTATGTACCTGTTGATTGAGCTGACACTTGGTACATTTTCGGACGAGCAGACACCTTCAGCTAGAAGTCTGTCGCGGATTTCCCATGCAAACATCGTAGGATTTTCATGTTTGTAGCGGGTTATAGCGTCTACCACTTTGGGAGTCGCCACTTTAGGCTTGGATCCGCCAATAACACCTGGCTTGATTGAGCCCGTCTCATAATACCTTAAAGAAGAAAAAAAGATTTTTTTTTCAAAATAGTGAATTACATCTAAGATAAGCTTTGTACTAGTATTACACCATAAAAATAATTTTAATTTGTATGCAGAAATCGTTCCTTCCCTGGGGGTTAAACTTTTAGTACTTTTATCAGAACACGGTATTTTTTAAGAGGATGAATTATGAAAATAAATATCCATACATTTTTGCTCTATCAAGTCTAATCTGAACATTACACTTTAAAGTTTATCAACTCGACAAGACATTTGCATTTCTTAAAAGTTTAAAGAAATCACGAAATATACTTTTGAAATTTTAAAAGAAATTGAAAAATGTATATTTAATGGACATGTTCAGTCGGCTTCTCAGGGAAATGTTTTAGAAGTCTGTTTTTAATTTGTTTTAGTTACGTGGAGTAAAAAGCATTTCACGTCATAGAATAAAACGAAGATTAAAGAAAAGATGGAATTTTAAAAAAAGGTTAATGTTAAAAATAAGATTATTAAAAGGACATATAATTTCAGATTTTAGAAAGAAAATTTGCATTAAAAATTTCCTTGCAAATTTGTACCCCGTGTTTGACTTTGGATGTTTATAAGTGAACAATCAACTTCAAATCAGCTCTTTCAAGTAGATGTGGAATAGAGAATTTGTTGTTTTTAATACACCCCATTTCACTATCTCCCTGACACGAAGATGAATACTTTATTTATGTTGCCCTCTATTGATTCTGGGGTGCTTAGAATTTCATTTTTCAAAACACATTTTCCCATTTTGTCGTCTAGATGAAAGCATAGATAGCGCCACAGAAATGAAAATGAGAATTCTCTTTATTGAAATTCAGATATCCGATTTCAAAAGTTCCCACCATCTGAAATCCAATGAATCATTAGAATGCCATTTACCAAGAAATTTCTTAATTTGTAGTACATTAAACTGAAAATGCAATCTCGTTATTTAAAATTTGTATCAAAAGTGTCATAAATATTTTGGTGTTCAATATAACACTTTAAATTTAACAATGCAAATAAAAATTATTTGAAAAATTTTCTCTAAAGTACTTTATTTATAACAGAATTTATGAACGGTTAAAGCATATTCTTGTTTTAATTTTTTTTTTTTTTTTTTTTTTAAATAAAAACATGTTTAAGATGCAAAAGTTTATTACTTTGCGTGTTGTTATAAATTAGCATAACTCTTATTGATCAACAAAATTTGAAAAATTTCTTTACTCAGCAGACGTTATGAAGAATACTCCATTGTTAAATTCGCAATATTACCCAACAAGAAAAATAGTTTAATTGACGAATTATTATTTTTATATTGGGAGAGAGAAATATGAACCTCATATTAACTGATATTGTCAAAATTTATAAACTACACGTTAATTGTTAATTAATAAATGACGGAATTCACTGTCAAATTAAGCAACTAGTATTTGTTTTCTTGTAAAATAATATCAAAAAGAAATTAGAGGGAAAATATAACGCGTATTGATGGGGGGAAAACTATTTAAATCGTTCTTATTCAGTATCAAAATACATTTAAAAAATATAATTAATCAATGATGAAATTAAAAGAAATATTACGTTACATTAATTCTGGACCACACATTGGATTAATAAAAAAAATTACCTGCACGAGTTATACATTATATCTAGGCGATTAATTTCAGCTAGGCAGTCATTCCCCAAACAAGCCGATGCCAAATTGAAAATAAACTGATTCTTTAGGATACTCGAGTTCAATTTAAAAATGAGATGATTTTTTTTCCTACATCGGCATGAAATGAATATAAGGCTTATGTTGGGTGATCCGTTGGTTAATTAAGCAAGAATAATCAGCTCAGACCCAGGTTCACCTCCCCTCGCCACGCACGAAAGCAAATCCCCTATCAAGACCTTAAACGAACTCCCAGGGTAGCTAAGTCACCCTCCCGAAACTTAACCCTCCGTAAGGGGACAAGGTTTATTGATTAAGGAACAAGAATATTTTGAGGTATCCCCAAGAAGTGACATCCCTCTAAATACACCCGAGGTAATTCGATCTCCTGTACCCCGGAACATCAATGACATTGTTAAACGAACATAAAGGACAAGACACTTTACGGATGGTTTTCATCTTTGCACCCGTTGCAGAAAAAAGCAACACAATGGTTGGTTTTTATTTCGGGGGTCAGCAGTGATCTTAAATGACCCTTTGCCAGATTAACTTTGACATGGCGTTCAGGTACACATGGTCATAAAGATGTCTATTTCTGAATGGCGTTCAAGTTCGATGTCACAGAAGATTGTTATGTGTTCATACGCCCAATTAGTTGCTTTTGCTCGTAACTAACTGGTTAAAAATACACATCTCTTTTATTTTCCTCCTTCCTAACTCAAGGCCTATTTTTGTTGGGGGACTCTTAATTTATTAGTTATACCTTATCTCCCGATTATCAGTGAACACCACTATCTTTTCCCTGAATCGCTAAGTTCCACGACAGAAAAGTAACAAATATTTGGGTCCGTAGTTTAAGATCAAGTGACCCAATAAATTCGGTGCTTTTGGAAGGAACACCCACTTTAACTTGAAACTTGGGATACTCTATTACAATCATCTTTTGTTCAATTTTGACAATAACATGTTTATATCAAGTTGACAAATTAAATCTTTTTTAAAATGTCCCAAGAAGAAGTTGTCACAAATTGATGTAATTGTTTAAATATTATTTTTAAAAATCCTGACAACATTCCAACTAGTAGTTCCGATTTATTTAAAATCATTTTAAAGCATAAAAAAATAAACTATTAAATTACAAAAATTATGTATAAAGATAAATAAATTTTAAATAAAATTCTAAATATTAAAATTGTTAACTAAAATAATTAATTACTTACCTGCCGAGTATTTTACTGACACATCCATGAGAGACCCGGAGTTGGCGGGAAATATCGCATGGCCTGACTCCCTGGTGGGCTAGTTCCACAATTCTTTGTCGGACCACATCGGGCAGGGGACGTCCATTGACAAATACCCCTCCTAACTGATTTACCCCACCATGACCTATTCAATAAAATATATTTATTTATTAATGTAATATTTTCTAAAATTAAAAGAAAATTTAGTACTTTACCAAATATCTGTAACATGTTGCATGATATGAACCTTGAAATCCGCATCCCATATCCATATTCCCGAACATATTATATTTATGGTGGGGAAAAAAAGAATGTTCCATATGAGGCATATAGTACATGGACATTTTGAGAAAATAATTTTGTTAATGTCCAATTTTTCTGTTGAAAAAATAGCTAGTCCTCAGGAAGAAAATTGTAACATCAAGTTGGAAAACGAGAAACTATGTATCACATTTATCAAACATGAATCCTTCAATGTTGTCAACTTTTTTTTTTATAACGGCACCTATTACTCTAATGAATTCGTGATAAAAGAACCAATGAAAATATTCCGTTTATGAAATGCACGTCTGCAAAATCAATGGGATTATGATAGAAAATCGCAACATTGTTCAATATCTTGCAGATCAGAAGCAACAGTTTAGGGCAGGCATCCCGAACCCGATGCAGTGCGCCGCTGATTACCCCCAACAATTTTATTTTCGATTGTCGTGCTTTGTCGCCAGTGAGGCTTGAAAGCGCCCATCTTTCAGTGACTAATGAACTTTTAAACAGTTATAATTACTCCATCACCTCCAATTGATGTGTTTTAAAACCAAGATTTGACACAGTTTGACACCTTTGAAAGGGACAGTCACACACTCTAAAACAAATAACAACTTTGTATATATACATATCAAAATATCTGCAATTCCATGGTGTGTTTTATATACTGCAAGGTGACAACAAGATAAATTTCAGAGAGTGAAAGAAGTCGATTAGAAGGCGTGGGACCAAATATAAAGCAAACAATAAACATGGAAAAATCAGGGAATAGCATGATTAACCATATAGAAAGTGTGTCTTAAAACATCCCATATCTACCTATATACATTCTGCACTATGTAGAGCATAGCTGCTCACTGAACACCATCGCTGCTCTCATTCTCTCAAAGTTAGTCACACCATCGAAGATTCATTAGACAAGAAAATTAAATTGAACAGCTAATTACCCATCACACGACACACAGCTCTAAAATAATGAACACCAAGAAAAATCAAACGCCCAATAATTACGATAAAAACAAAGGCAGATATTTTTTACCTGCGAAGACATCATAAGCTCGCGGTTGGAGTTGATACGGGAAAGTCGGGGGACCATATGGCCCAGCCCAAGTGTTCTGCATGGTTCGAGTCCGATACCCCAAAAGAGGACTTGAGTGCTACCCCTCACAGTTTCGACCACTTATAGCGTGATTTAAAGGCCCAGGGGTGCCTGTAATTCACCTAAGCCAAATTGGTTATTGCTACCCTTCTCTTGCAACTTGACTTTGGTTATGGTTGTAAGGTTCAATGCGCAATCTTACAGTCTATATCTTCGACCCATTCAGACACCAAACGCGCGAGCAAGCCAATCGCTTGACACCAGTGCTGTTGTATACCCAAGTAGTCAGGGGTACCCCTACAATGTCTATAATCTCGTGTTTCTTCACTTTGTTTTATGCAATTCAAGCATTATTGGTGTACCAAATCTTTTGTTTAGCTCCACAATAATATCTCTTTATTTCTTAACCACTTCTGGCGTCACTGAACAAGACCAAAAAATATATCCTTCCACTGATTAAAAAAGAATTAATCCACAAAATTGTAGATTTTTTTTGCCGATTTTAAACTTTGGAAAGATGCAAACCAATGAGAATTTTCATTCGTTGTCATTTTTTGCAGCTTTTCTTACCCCCTAACACCTGCTACGTACATGTGTGAATATAAAAATTAGTGATTTGGGGGACTTGTTGAACAAAGATAATTCCTAATGACTTTCTGCTTCAAATGTCAAAGTTATCGAAAGTTGGGGTTTGAAGACAGATAAACATTTAATATAGCATTTGACTCATACTACCATCAATTTTCCCCGATTTTGCATCAAAGACACGACTTAGCATAAATTGATGTAATTGTGCCATATTACACTTGATTTGAAATTGTAATTATTACCCCATTCTTTATTCCCCGTATTTGGACAGGACAATTCAAAGTTAATGTCCTCGTCTAAACACTTTGCTGTAAACCGAAAAAAAATTATTTTCTCCAATTCAAAACGACAAGATTTCTTATCGCACCTAGTCCTTTTTTCATCTGATTCATGGTGGAAAAATACATAGCAAGTTTACAGTCTACTTTAGCACGAAGTCATTTTGATAAATTAAGTCTCATCTATTTCGGCCATCGAAAAGAACAAACATGTACCATTCGTTTGAAATAACTGGACGATTTTATAGCATTTGTACCACGGCGACTATTAAGGGTCAGTCCCTTTTGAAACCGGACGCGACAGGGGATATAAATGGAGAATTTAAGCCAATATTTGCCATTTTGTGGACTTGAGACTTAATGCAGTACACGTAGGAAAGGACGCTGATTGATAGCGAACGCTTTGGGCCAAATATCCATCATGGAGACACAAAAGAAAGGGGACTTGATCTATTTGATAGCCACGAAGGGGCAGCCTTTTAATCACTTAAGGTGTGAAAGAATTCTTCGTCCCAACGTTGCACGACCTAAAATATGTATATCAATTCCGTCTCCATTCCGTAGATGAATTTTTATTTTATTTTTTACATACCTGGGTTTTTTGGAATAAAGTTTTTATAGATGAAGATAAATTCATGAGACACAACTTTCCCTCAGTAAATCCAGTAATGAAAAATTAAGACAAAAAATAAATAATTTCCTTCTTTTTAAATAATAAGGAAATAAAGCTTCCCTATGCATCCACTTGAAAAAAATATTTCTAAACCCTGCAGTGACTTAGTTTTGTGTATTAGGGACAAAGGAGGAATTGAGTTGCGTTACATTGCTTAGTTGTAGAATCTAAGGTTTGGAAGATGGAACACATTCATTTCGTTGAAGCGTGCGCGGTTCAATTTTGATAATACATTTAGATTTTTCATGAATTGTCAAAAGGGCCTAAAGTCTGCCGTCTGCGTGTTTGTATACATGTTCCATGATCCGCTCAACGAGTCTCCGACAATGTCATGATGTAAGGGAAGATGGCCCGCGTTTAGTGCTCTGTTCCGCGTCGCTACAGTACCGTGGACAAGCCATTCTAGCGGTTTTTGTGTTTATCAAAAAGGCATTAGTCCGTATTGCTGCATTTCAATACACAAAATTACTATGTGTGACCACTACACTCAGCGCTTGAATTGGATTCGAGTAATTCATGAAAAACGATACCTTGAATTAAGACTGCATCCCAAATAATGTTATTTAATATCATTTGTAGAAAACAAGGAAATTTAATGAAATAAAAAAAGGGCGAAAAGGGAACAAGAAAAATTTCTATTGGAGACATAACCCTATTGTTGTATATTTGCAATGTCCGTAACTTACTTTTGCACGAATGATAATAGTCCAATTGCATAGGATTATGAAATCTATAGGCAGTAGCCAAATCCATGATAATCAAGGGGCACTAAGGTTCGTCTACTACTCGGATATAGTCAAATGATAATCACAAATGTAGTCCGGAAAAAATTGAAGTCAAATCGGATTTAGTCCAAGTTTATCCGAAATGTCGCTAGTTGAACTTTCTGATCCGTATCATTGAACCGACGGAAGAGGTATGGAGTTTTGAATAAATAAAGTACAGTCGAAGTCATTATCTGTATAAGCTCTTATTCAAAAATTTATAACAAAAATTGCAAGAATCATGAAACGGGACCGACAATTCGTGTCATATTTCTCTTCACGCGTGATTGATCATGGAAGGACCTGCCTCTCTCGGAATTGGACCGCCCTCACCTGAGTGAAATTACCTGCCCATCTAAGGGGAAAACATGGAAAAATGCAAAGATGGCTAATCTAAATACCGGTATTGACAATTGTCGGATATGCTTGAGCGACAGCAGAAAGGTTAAGATGCGAAGTAGCATGTTTTTTTTTTTCCTTTTTACCAACCATTTATTTGTTTATTTTTCTTTCCGGTGTTAAGGTGGTGTTTAGCAAAGAAGCTAATCATTTTAACGAATACTTAAAGATTTATAAACAGTATTAATTCTCTTTTCATTTTTCTCTTGTATCTTTTCCCCCTTTTTATAATGAGGATGAAGAAAACATCATTAATATTAACGCTTGCTATGTCGTTACGACACATAAAAATAATGGCGTTTGATTGTTTTAATTATCTTCAAACAAGTCATGAGGCCATAAAACGTAGGGGTAAAAACAATCTAGGATTATCCCAGGCGATAACCAATTGACAACATTTTATGTTGTCCTATTTAATATTTCATCGCATTCTTATCACTGAAACACAATAATCATTTACATCTAGGGCCTACGTCTTGTAGAAAATTAATATTTCATTTCTCGATTTCAAATTTTCTAAGATCTTCAATTTCAATGACGTCCGTGGAATTAGGGAAAAGGACATAAATAGCGATTTGAAGACTTTGAAGCCCCCAGAGGAAGACTCTACATATCTTCATCAACAGAGGTTAAAATGATAAATATATTAAAAAAAAAACAGTTAATCTTTTTGAGGGCACCTGCCCATCCTTATATTGTCATATGCACTGAAAAATTCTGGGGTCGTAAAAATGGACCCATCGCTTACGCCGCAAATTGTCTCTTGGGACTTCTTGGTGAACTTTTGTAGCTTTAGATAAAGTCTTTGAAGTACATGACATGTTCAGAGTTTAATTATAATTTAAATTGCTAATTTAGCCCCGCTGCTCAGGGTCACACCGGCAGGTCTCAAGGTGCACGTAATTTTATTTTGGCCTTTTGTTTTAGTCGTAGACTTGACCCCCTTATCTGGAAAATCGGAAGTATAACTCTGACGCAGGGATAGATTTTGGCAAAAGATGGGGGATGTATATTGTTTAATTTAATTAATACATACTTAAGTAAATAAACTTGATTACATCAAAACATGACACCGTAATAGAAAGATCATGCTGTATCATGTTTTGAAACTTTTGAACCAATACTAGTTCTTAGTCAATATTTTTGTATTGAGCTTGGACAACTTGGTAATATCCGGATTACTTTTTAGATTTAATTTAAGGATGATCAAATTTTAATGTTATTTTCATAGTATTATATTTTATGGGATCCTTCAAGCACAAGACAATCCGGGTTTCTCTAGAAAAATTTCAAAGCCTTTATTTTTTAATGATTTTATTTTAAAAATTCCAAAGAGAACTATAAGCAACATATATCTTGTCCCTTTTTACTGTAAAAAAGTAAATTCTAACTTATAATAATAACTCGATTGATCACAGTATTTATGTTTACATATTTGATAGATCCTAGAGGATAATTTTTAATCACTAATTTTACTTAAGGTTATAGAATTTAATCTTCCTTTTAAGAGATACACATTAATCATTGTGTATCTTTAATTAACAATTTATTCCAGTTAATTCCGAGACACGTTCGTGTTATCAGATATTTTTCGCCTCGCTGCAGGGACAGTGCATCGGCATGCAACTGCATCAGTTTAACCAAATTATTAATTAAAATGTTAGATCTAATTTAACACTCTCTCTTCTCATTATACAGATAAAAATAGTTCCAATAATTATTGAGAAGTGATTTAATCAATGTTTTATCCATACACTGAACGGAACGG